TGGGTGGACCCTGTCTTCTGTGAGATGCATAGGGGTTTCCCTAGGGGTGTTTGTCTGTACATGTGCACCAGGACAAGGAAGTCTATAGTTTGAATAGCCTCTTACAGTTTTCATTGTTATATAAGACCTTTGTGTATATATCACATTATCTGTAACTTCAGCAGAGCATTACGATTGTTACCTCACCCAAAATGCCCGTAGTGTGTATATGCAGCTTAACAGTGAGAAAATAAGATGTTTTAATCTGTATGTTGGTATGGAAAATAAAACAAACTTGGTCTCTTTTTTGATAACATGCCACTTTGAAGGGAGCAAACACCTTCCTCACCAATATTCTTTTAGAACAGGTAGGACCCAATCATGGAACAGAATGTTGTGTGCCTTTTGGAAGTTTGACATGGACTGTTGATGTTAGGTAGACTCAGATGTATTATGTAAACATGGTATTTTATATTCTCAAATGGTGTATTAATGAAATGTGACATGTATTTTCAGTTTAAATTTTTTGATGTCAAATATTTTTTATTTAAGAAAAAATTATGTTCATCACTATTTGTGATATCACGGCGGGGGACACCAGAAATGGGCTCCACACATTGCACCAATGTGGGTTATCGAACCTGGGCCTTTTGCATGATGAACGCTTAAACCACTAGGCTAAACTCACCGCCCCTTTTTTATATAATAAGGCATTAGATGATCAGATCTCCTTCCTCTTTTCCTGCCCCACCTTGTCCCTGATCTCGCCACATACATTCTGCCTCACCTTGTCCCTGATCTCGCCACATAATTCTGCCTCACCTTGTCCCTGATCTCGCCACATACATTCTGCCTCACCTTGTCCTTGATCTCGCCACATACATTCTGCCTCACCTTGTCCCTGATCATGCTACATACATTCTGCCTCACCTTGTCCCTGATCTTGCCACATACATTCTGCCTCACCTTGTCCCTGATCTTGCCACATACATTCTGCGTGTCCCTGATCTCCCACATACATTCTGCCCCATCTTGTCCCTGATCTCGCCACATACATCCTGCCTCACCTTGTCCCTGATCTCGCCACATACATTCTGCCTCACCTTGTCCATGATCTCGCCACATAATTCTGCCTCACCTTGTCCCTGATCTCGCCACATACATTCTGCCTCACCTTGTCCTTGATCTCGCCACATACATTCTGCCTCACCTTGTCCCTGATCACGCTACATACATTCTGCCTCACCTTGTCCCTGATCTTGCCACATACATTCTGCCTCACCTTGTCCCTGATCTTGCCACATACATTCTGCGTGTCCCTGATCTCGCCACATACATTCTGCCCCATCTTGTCCCTGATCTCGCCACATACATCCTGCCTCACCTTGTCCCTGATCTCGCCACATACATTCTGCCTCACCTTGTCCATGATCTCGCCACATAATTCTGCCTCACCTTGTCCCTGATCTCGCAAACATACATTCTGGCCCATCTTGTCCTTGATCTCGCCACATACATCCTGCCTCACCTTGTCCCTGATCTCACCACATAAATTCTACCTCACCTTGTCCCTGATCTCGGCACATAATTCTGCCTCACCTTGTCCCTGATCTCGCCACATAATTCTGCCTCACCTTGTCCCTGATCTCGCCACATACATTCTGCCTCACCTTGTCCCTGATCTCGCCACATACATTCTGCCTCACCTTGTCCCTGATCTCGCCACATAAATTCTGCCTCACCTTGTCCCTGATCTAGCCACATACATTCTGCCCCACCTTGTCCCTGATCTCGCCACATAATTCTGCCTCACCTTGTCCCTGATCTTGCCACATAATTCTGCCTCACCTTTCTGTTTTACCATGTCAGCTGTTTGGCATCGACACTCCATAACCGACCAGATGGTTTGTGTTTGAGTGCAACACTCAGTTGCAGACAAAGTAAAATTTTAAAAAAGATTCACTTTTGTACAAAACTGATTAAGATTTATTAATAATTCATTGTTGCCTTCTAGACAATCATTTTTTTCTGGATGTACACCAACCAGTCTTTTAGTTGAAAATCCCACTTTGAAAGACGATCTGTTTTGAGGTCATTTTTTTAAAGCAAGAGACAGCCATGTCCCCATGTTCTGTACTTGACCTCATTTATTAGTTCATATAAGTATTTTCTTTTCTGGCCTAAGAAATGTCAGCATGCCTTTTAAAGTGTTTATTCAGTGTGACCTTCAGTTATCATTAATAAATTATTTATATCTTAAGCATGGTTGACAGAGATGCCATGTACTACCCTAACAAGACAATGGTATATTTGTTTCATCGATCCACTGAAATACGAGTAATTGCCTGTGTTTTGTCATCCAGTGCTAACCACGGCACGGTGACAAGTATAAATTGATCCCCTGGTTCAACATGTGATTATAACATGCGAATAAACAGACACGTAAATGGCAATCAGGGCCCCGTCACACCTTATAAACAATACAACAGGAGGTTACTGTTGTACATGGATGTTGATCAGCATGTTGACATGATGACTGATGCTATTGAGCAAACATCCATCATTACAGTCTCCATGGCAACAGCAGTCAGTATGTTTGTCATGGCAAAGTGATAAAGTAGCTATGGTCAGTCGTCAGAATAAGGATAGAGGTAATACGTGGGGTATCAGAGACAAAATATGTAGGTTGGAGAAGTTACTGGTTTTAAGAGGCGACTAACTGACTTGGTTGATGGCATGCATGGTGTCTCATAATATTGATCACTGGATTGTCTGGTGCATTTACAGGCCACTGTCAGGCATGAATAATGGCTCATAATATCAATCACTGGATTGTCTGGTCCATTTACAGGCCGCTGTCTACAGCTGGAATAGTACTGAAGGTTGCTTTGAAGAACAAACAAATGTCTTTGCGGAGTTCCGTATACATGTATATAGGTTATGATATCCGCAGCACTAAGATACCCGACCCTGAAGTGTCCTCCACTCTGACTGTTAACAACAGAGTTTGTTGACTGCGATCCAGTGTATGGAGAGCAGAAAGCTTGCTGTAGTGTTGATGTAATATTTCCCCACACCCTACATTGTATCAGTGTCACGATGGTGAGAACTGGGACGCATGTAGTGCTGCATCATTGGGTTCTAGCTTATGTTACCCCAGCACACATCTTAGTCATGTCTTTAGTATCATTATAGCTTTAGGGCATGGTTTTAAAGTTTCAATTTATTGGTTAGATCTATTTATTGGTTCAGGCCTTGCCGTGAGATTAGAAGTTCAATATGTTTGGATCTAATTTATTGATTATAATAAGGAAAGTTACCATGTCGAACATATTGTGGATGAATTTGCAGTATTGGTATTGCTTGTGCTATTGCTACATAACAAGTAATAACCTCTGTGGTCTAGTGGTAGAGCATCAGCCCAGAGAGCGGTTTTCAGGGTTTGATTCAATGCCACGTCATATCAAAAGTCGTTATTACCGTGCCTGGTTATTCTGTGTCTGGATGGGCTATTCGTATTAAACTGCAGCATGGTATCTCAGTTGGCAGGGATTATAAATTTGGCACAAGCAGACACACACAGACACATGTGCAGGCACGTTGCTATATAAGTGCAATACTCTTGGACGCAACATTAAACCCCATTTCACCTCACCACATAACTAATAACAACCATGTCATGAGGCTGATTCTATTCATTTCATCCACCGACCCGCAGCATGTAAATGTTGAAGTGTTTAGTATTATATAGAACACCTGATGGTCAGATCTGATGGTAAACATAGCCATATGGGGATCATGTTGGAAGGTTGTTTGTCCTGTCCATAACTTGACCACACGTCCGTCTGTCATCCCTGAACCATAGTATTTCCCTTCCGCCAAGCCCTGTAATGCTATTGTCCTAAATAAAACAAGTTCAGATCCCCTCCCCCCTCGGCAGTTGTTTGTTTCTGTCAAAATTGTATACTTTCAGAGACCTAGCATTAGTCTACATGGCCACTATGAATGTTTGTGAGTGATTGAGTATTTTGTAAATGATTATCAGTGTTAACATATAAACCACATTGTTTCAGAGAGGTTCTTATTATAACCTTTGTCAGTCTCTGAACAAAACCCCACTGGTACTTTAGTATATCGTTTCATGTACAAAACTCCAGATTAGTTTTAGGTTGGTGTCTGGAAAAACAAAATCATCAAAACCAAACTTCTCTTTAGGTGATGTCAAGACTAAACCTCTCGTTTCATGTGGACTTGGGTGACAGACAGTAGACCCTTGTTTCGGAAGTGAGGTTACCAGCTTTATCTCTCTCTTGTCCTAACTTAAGCACAGAATATCTCGCTCATATGATTGAAATCATCAACCAATCAAACTGTTTCTCCTAACACAAGTTTGGGATAGATCTTCATTCAAAATTGACCTCAGAATGCCCCTTTTATATATTTAATAGACTTCTATAAATGAACTTTTAGCTGGAAAAGATGTTTCCTGAGTTTAAAAACAGGAAGGGGAGTCAAAGCAATACAAGATGCTCGGGTTGTACGTGAGACATGCAAAAATCAAGTACTGGTGACACCACTGCATGTTTGAATTGTGTAATTTGATTGGACATCTATTTCCGTATTGTCTCATTCAACCAAGACTAAACACATGGGGGTGGAACCCGTGGAGATCCGGGGTAGAGTAGGTCTTCAGCAACCCATGCTTGTTGTAAGAGGCGACTAACGGGATCAGGTGGTCAGGCTCGCTGACTTGGTTGATGCATGTCATCGTATCCCAATTCCTAGGATCAATGCTCATGATGTCAATCACTGGATTGTGTGGTCCAGACTTGATTATTTACAGACCGCTGTCATATCGCTGGAATATTGCTGAGTGTGGCGTTAAACAAACAAACAAAACATGGGGTTGGTGGATGAGTCTTGGGATATTTCATTAGAAATGCGGTGTCATACACTGGATGACTTGTGATGATGAAGAAAGAGTTTGACGTGAAGGTTATATGTGTGTGTCTATGTTCCAGGACTGGGAGTGCTGCTGGTCATTGTTGTGGGTGTCGGCTGGAAGTGCACCCCAAGGGGACATGAACCATTACATGCGCTTTTCAATATTGGGGACTTCCGTCGTCGACGAGACCGCCAAACACGAAGGGCGTACCGGCAGAGAGACAGCAACTGGTATGGAGGTGAGTATCTGACCATGTACACGTTCACCCAGTGACCCACCTTGATAATAATAACCATTAACCTACCTTAAAATAATAATAACCATAAGCGTAAGACTTTGGTACACCTGATCACTGTTACCAGATTTCTTTTTTCTTACGTATGGAACAATTTGATCAGTCACTTTTGAGGCTCCTGTGGTAGCGAAAACATTATGTTGACATATAATTGGCAAACTACAACAAATATGACATTTAACAAGTCAAAGTTATGCTTTTATGGATTTATGATATATGTATCCATTTTTAGTTTGGCATCAATAGCATTAATCTGACTGTGGGTACTGTACATAACATTGAATGGTAGCAATCTACCAATAACTTCACCCACGATTTCTCCAAAATTAATGTTAACAATATTGAATTAAATTTCAATTAAAATGAATAAAATAGATTACAAGTCCAGATATACTATGAACACTTTTTATAATCAGACAGTATTATTACATGATTAAGTTGCGTACTTCAGTACAGATTTGTTGACATGGTATTTCCGGTGTTACATGCTCACGGTAATGTCTGTGTTGGGGAAAAAACATGAAAACCCATCATGGTGTGTATTATGCGCACCCCTCTCTACACAGCTGTGTTGTTGTTTTAAAAGTGTGCACTACACTCAAGAAAATATGATACACTACATGACTCGTATTGACTTTGTGTGGGAGGACAGGGTCCCAGTGCTGGCTAATGTTGATCAGGTGGAGGCGACATGTGACCTGGCTGATGATGTCGTGCAGGGTTCCTCATGCAACTGGTAACATAGATACTTATGACGTTATAGAGAGATATTCTTGACCACAGACATATTGCAGACATACACCACTTGGACCCAAAGTTTTTTTATTTACCATCAACAGGAAGATTGACATATCCAAAGTGTTCACAGGACAGACATACAAACAGACTTTAATTTACCATCAACAGGAAGATGGAAATATCCAATGTCTTCACAGGACAGACATACAGACAGACTTTATTTACCATCAACAGGAAGATGGACATATTTCCCAGGTCTCCGTGGACCGACATCTTAAATTTACCTCCATCAAGCAGATTGACATATCCAAAGTTTCTGTGAATACACACACACCCTCCAGAATGTGAGGACATAATTGTCTATGTTGTTAAGGTGTCATCTTCCACTGCATCAGATGTAAGTAAGGTAATGATTTGACCAAGATAGTACAGATATTTCCAACCAAAGTTTCAGTACCTATAATAATAACTGCATAGCATGTCAGCTAAAATATTCTACAAAAATTAATTACGACATAGACACATGATCCCTTGCAGTTGTCTGTCAGGCAATGACAATGCATGTTCCACTGAGCCTACATGAGCGAAGACAAGTTTTTCTGACTGTTATGTTGAGAGTGTCTGTGAACCATCATCTTTGTTTGCCACTAGCTTAAGTATTTGCTTCCTGGGAGGAGGAACTGTTGAAGGGAATAATGATGTCGTGATCACCCACTCGGCTCTTACGCTGTTGTGTCATCATTGTGTGACCAGTGCTTGCTGCAACATTTGCTGTTTCTAATGTAAACCTTTCACAGTTTGCAAGACACAAGCTTACACTTAGATGAACTAGTTTGATGACAACTAATTTGCGTTTAATGATTGATTAAGACCAAACGCAGTTGATTATGTTTTTTATTTAATCTCTTATTCTATTTTTTTCAAATGTGTTCTCTCAGATAATCAAATCATAATATTTTCCTCAATTTTTTTATTTAATAATGTACAAGTTGCAATATTTATTTTGAAATTGGTCAAGATCTGAATAAATAATCTGTTTTGGGACTAAAGATTGTCTCTGGCTTGATTAGGTGGGGTGCTGTGCAGGGTTACATACTTTAGTATAATCCCAATTACTTCTCGATGGTGACCCTTTGTTGGTCAACACCCATCTTCCTGAGGCAAGGGAGTTAATTGACTGTAAAAGTCCACTTTCCACCCTTGCTGCCCTAGGCTGCAATTATGAAGTTATATTTTGGCTGGAGTAACAAGTACATGCATAGTCCAATCAAAATCGCGTAACGAAATTGACATCTGGATTTTGGTCGACTGCAGGATTTGCTAAAGATGTGTACAGTCAACTGGGCAATGACACATATTTTCAAAATCTTTTCCATGTTTTTAATCATGGTTCTCACGCGATTTGATGCACTTCACGAGATAAGACTCGTGTTTTTACAATATATATCTTGATCATCGATCAGATCGTCTTGATTGGTTGCCGCCATTTGGTTTGAAGCAACTGCAAGTGATATGAGAGGTGGAATCTAATTGGTCAGTAAGGATGGCATAGAAGGGACATACCTTGTAATAGCCACTGGTGGCGCTACGATCGAGCCCAGAAATTCCAGCCTAGTTCCGCGAGGGTGGTAACAGGACTTTAGGTGTCAGTTAACTCCCTTGCCTCGGGAAGATGGTCAACACCATAACTTGCTTGTTGGTTTCGTAATGTGTACAACCTGTATGCTTGGCCATGGTCAGCATCCAACTCAGGGTTTCACAACAGTTTCCTCTCACCTTCAGATCATTTACTGTGAGATAATGGAAACATTGTGCAAAGAGGTGTTAAACTCAACACATACACTCACAGAAGACAACATGTAGGGTATTAAATTCATGAAGTTTCATATCTTCCTGTTAAAGTTTTGATGAGATGAATATTGTTCAACTGGTTGTGTGACCTTGTTGGGAGATGTTCTGCTTAAAAGCTTTCAAGGGCACTCAGAGATATGACTGAATTTGACCTTCTATAAGTCCATAAATCTACACTTTTACTCGTTAATATTGGAGTGGTATTGCTCAGTGTCGTTGTGTGATAGGCACTCCAGAACACCATCAGGAAGAGATGAAAGTAGGTGACATCTGTCTGAACTCATTGTGCTGGAAATGCATGTACTGGGTCATGTGCCCAACATCACAGTTTACATTACTGGTCTTAAGTTGATTATTTTGAACGTAGGTAAGGACACAACAAGCCCAGTGAGGCAGAACCTAAGCATGGAGGATCCCTACTGCTCACAGAACATTCACAGAACATCCACAGAGCCTGTAAACATGTCTGCTCCATAACCATGATAACTAGGCCAGTCGTGTTATTGATTTTTGTTGAATTTATTGATTTTTATCCATTACCCATTTATACTCTGGATAACATATGCAAAACTATGTTGCATTACTCTAATCAATAGATGTTCTGTTATATAAGGAAAAGAGCAAAGGGATAGTTATCTCACCAGGATCTAACAAATACCTACATGAGGACATTTGGTAATATTTAAACAAACAAACAAACAGGGAAAATCACATGCTCTGAAAGTAATACTGCATTTGAGTTGCATGCTACATGTTGTATTACTTGTCCATATATCTGGAATGTCCAATATGGCATTTTTGATGGTTGCTATGGAAATTGGCACACAAATAAAAAGTGAAACAAATTTTGGGCTCACCCATCAAAGATTCATTTTCATAGGTCCTAGGTCCTAAGTTTTAAGGAAAAATTTGAAAATGTCAACTTCATGAAATTGACATGTGATATTTTTATGTCGACACTATTTTCATGCTGCAGTCATGATTTTGAATCCTTGGCTTTTCACAACCATATCATACCCATGGCTTCTCCCTCCACTTTGACCTGATCTACCTTGATATAACTGATACCGGTACACTGTTCAAAGCAGCATTAGACTGAACTAAGTTCCAGCAAAAGCATTAATTAGTGTCTCTTATCATATTCTCCTTCTTCTTCCAGGTGTGATGTACCCAGAATTCCAGTACCGTCGTCCACCACCATCGTATGCTGCATCGATGCAGGAGTACCAACAGCAGCTGTTGTTGGCACAACAGCAATACTTGCAGCAGACTGGCAGTAACGGCGAAAGTCTTCCAAACTCACCCCCTCCCTCGTATAGGTCCCGTACGAGCACTATACACTCAGGAATCCATATTGCCTTCCCGCCAGACTCAGATCAGCCCAACTCGCGGCCACCGACCTATCGATCAACCGCGAGTACAATGGGCCGTAGGGGCCCTGTTCGGCCACCATTACCCAGAGACCATAGTTACGATGATGACAGGGGAGACAATTTACCCGGTGGTGATATTTCGTTTGCTGGTCCCGATGTCAGTCCAACTAGTGTAGGGTCAGAGGTCGGCCAGTCGTCAGAACCAACCAGTGCTAGCATAGATAGGACTCCATCAGATGACTCTATACTGAGTGCATCATCACCGTCAGACTTGGTTACGGGGAGGTCATCGAGTGTAGCAAGTCCTGAAACTCCCAGTAGTGCTGCTAGTCTGTCGTCTGCTCACAATCAAACCACAGTAACAAACCCAGAACAGTCTTCTGTGATTCAAGGCCAGAGCTCATCAGTGAGTGGAGGAACAAATGGGTCAAATACAACCAATGTGGACGAGTCTTCCAGCCATGTTCAACCAAAAGATGACACGCTTGACCGAGAGCTGCAGCAGACTCTTGAGACCTTTGACGAGATTACCTCTGGTGCTGTGTCGGACAGTGTATCCAAGTCGATGGAAGAAGCCACTTCATCAGAAGAGCCAGAAAGATTTCAAACAGCTTTGTGAACCGTGGGATACTAGAATCTGGTTTTGTGGATATGTTTAGGAAGTCTATATAAATACCCCACATTCCATGTGTGTCTTGATTGTGTTCATATTGTGTTGGTGATGAAGGATGAATGAAAACTGTATTATTAATTCCACAAGTCATTTGTGTTGTGTGCATTCAAGAGGAAATATGTATGATGAACTTTGACTTTGAAACCCCAAGGTCCACAGTTGTTTTTTTAAGTGTGTGTGTTTTTCAGTTAAATGATCATCACTTTTACATGTAGTTTTAGCATGTGCTTGTTTGTTTAACATGTTTTAAAATGTTTGTGTTCAAATGGTAAGTTATTTTAGGTTATGTTTTCACTGAAGACTTTATCTTCAGTGTATTTTATTTTAGCTTGCTTTTGGTATTCTCTTTATGAAAGCATGTGAGAATCCTTGAATTTGTAAGCACAGCGTCAGACTAATGAGAATATAAAACTTATGTTCAAGAATGTTTGATAGCAATATGTCAGACAGGTTTTAACAAAATATTTTAGTGGTTTTGTTAAAAATCATGTTTTATTGTTTCTGTTTCCATTTTCATTTTAAGAGATTTTAAATGTGTTTTTAAAGATTTCATTTAAAACACTACTACTTTCCTGAACATTTTGAACAAAATTTTATATCTTAATGTAATCATGGTAATTTGTTTTGTAGCAATGTTTCACAAAAGAATTTTTTATTTCATCAAGCATAAGATGCTTGATACCTTGGAACAATTAAAAACAGGTAGTTGTATCTGAATTTGTTATTTACTGGAAATTCTATTGTCAGTTGCCTTGGGATAAGAATTGGGCTGAATTTTTACCATCTTTTACATTATTTATAAACTACATACTGATTTGTGTTGATTCAGCAATAGACAGACAACATTCTAACAATATGATGACAAATGTGTATTGTATGGAAAACTTACAGCAATATTCACTTCACTGTGACTGATACTTTAACACCCAGTACTCTACTTGGCAGTGTTAGAAATTGGCACTCGTCCTCTAGTCCTTGCCAAGCTGCCCAATAGTTAAGGTATCCTAGTAGAAATTTGCAAAATTTTGCAATTTTTTAGGGGTTTTGCTATATGTTACCTTTATAAGGACTAGTGGACTAAATCTGTTAGTTTCTGTCGCTGCTTGGCACCAGGGAATGATGCATATGGCCATTGATGCACCACCATATGCACACCCACCCACCCACCCACCAGCAGAAGGTGCACGGAATGACCTGTCACCTGGAAGACATACTGCACATGTCAGTTTGACAATATAAGTATACTCGCTTCAATCAAGGGCAAACACTGACATTTGAGGACTATGCGTGCTGCAGTTGTAATGGACCATGAATGTCGGACTTGTGAGAAAGATGAATAATTCAGCGAGTATGATGGCAATATAATAATCTGTGTGACTCTTGCTGTCTGATTGTCGGGCAGTTCCTGTTTCTGGTCCTTCTCCAGGGAATGGCTCCTATTCAAATGATGCAATTTGCTTTGTAAAACCTATGAATATTGACCACACTTGAACTGCGGCATACAAGTCGTGGGCAGCCGGGTCCTCATGAATTGCAAAACAATTTCTTTTAAAGGCTGACGATTTTGATGTGTGTTTTATACTTTTGAGTTCATGTTTAATCGTTCTGCTTGTGTTTTGTTCCAACAAATATGGTAATTGAGTAGGGCTATAAGAAAAGACCTTTGCTTGATGACATGAAAGGTCATTTGTTATCTTTTTATCTTTTTTTTATTACAGAAAATAGCCATGATTTACATGTAGTCGTCATGTGTAATCTTCAAGTTTAAGAAACTTAAGCTTCTCAATCGAATGATCTAGATGATAAACCTCAGACAGGAAATACCATTCCGATTATTTTTTTCTTTGTGCATCTTTTCTACAATATCTCACTTATAATCTTCACAAGATGATATGTGTTTTGCCTACAAAATATACAAAAGTAATAGTGATCTGAAAGTCTACATGACTGTCCTATTGGCCTTCACCTTCAAGTCTTAGCATAAGATTTCTCCACGAGTGCCTTGGAAAATTTGCTGATTTGTTTTAAGAAAACCTTCTCCTCTTCCTTGATGGGGAGTCCACTGAGTTGACCTACTGGTAGACAATTTTCACAGGTGTAATGATGTTATTGTATGTGCCTTCCCCACAAGAATACATGGATAAGCATGGATGGGCCATGTTTAAATATCTTAAATCATAAGGTGATGTGATAAAGTTATTACTCAAACAGATTTATAGATAAATACTCAAAATACTGACTCATCTATAGGTGTCTGAATATAGGACTGTTTCAAAGTTAACATAAATGAAGCTAGCATGCATCAGATTAATGATAATTGTGATTTTGATTTCAAATACTTAAAGAATTATTAATATGATTAGTAACGTCATTGTACACAGTTTCTTTTGAAGAATGAGTTTAATATTTTTACTGTCGTTTCGTTATTACATTGAAGCCAGTATAGTTGCCTACCAATATGATTAATAATGTGTTTAGATTTCAATATTTTTAGATTTCTCACGTACCTAATACAGTCACTTTGATATACCAGGATATCGAGGTTTCAATCTGTCGTTATTGTCAGCTCTCATTTCTCATGTATTCATATGGACGCTACACATCTGTGCCTATTCTATATTGATGTTCATCGTTAGCTTGTTGATGTGAATACAGTGAGGACAGCATTATGTTCATGTATTCACTACCAGCTGGTTTGTTCCTGGTATTGAATTTTCTCTTGTTGAAAAAAACAATTTCAGTCTGTTACATCTACTGTTCATTATTATCACACAATCCCTATGTTTCTGTGAATGAACAACCACTTGTATGCTTTTTTTGACACATCTAAAACATTTTCTCTTTCCTTTTTTGCTTGCGAGAGTTTTGCAGCTCAGTGGTTTATTGGAAACAATTGTTAGAATACTGTTGAATAGTAGAAATTTGTATTTCTTTAAATCCATTTCTGAAACAGTGAAGACACAAATTATTTCTTAAAATGTATGATTTTGTTTCATCGATTGAAACAAAACATGGTAAATAAGGTAAGTCTAGGAAATTATTTTTTATTCTTTGATTTCCATACGTCTTAAGTTATGTTCCTGTTAAAATTTCAGAAGGATTCCACTAAAAAAAGCAACTAATCCTAAATGGATGTTTTCTTCAATTTTTTTAATGACGAATATTTGAAAGTAAATTACTAAATATTGCCAGTTTGCTGAACACTTCAGAGTTTCAAAGAATTAATCACCTTGTCTTTAAACATTAATCATCAATAATTTACAAAGCATATAAATATTAAGACATGAAACGTTTATGGACCTCAACTTTTTATTATTTTTATGTCATTTCAGGGCCTCTTTTAACCTCTTTGTTACGTGATTCATTTAAGTGGAATATAGAAGCTGATATCCATCAAAGTTTCATGTCTTTGTAGTATCTGCTTTAACACATTCTTGATGAGAATGATGAATGCTTGAGGAGATGGGGACTATGTCTTTGAAACTCTGAACTGTTCATATCAATAAAAGTTTATGTCTTAATGGTCTTCACATAAATATATTCTTGAAATTATTTCTGTAAGGTTGTAGTACCATTTCATAGATCTGTTGCTACATCTGTTTGTTCAGGCCCTTCATACATAGTATTAACATGGCTTATTTGATAGATTTTCTTTGAATTCTTTCAACAAAATCTTCTATGCCCAGTGACTGCAGGCTTTGATCTGTGTGCTATATTGTATATGCAACCTTTTGATCCTGACCAATGAACTTGTACAACGGAAGACATTTCACAAGTAGAAACAGAACTTCAGGACTGGTGGTTAAGACTTGTCACTTCACCCAGACTCCTTCCCACACAAGGCTTTGCAATAATATTGATAATATCTTACTGTTCTCAAAGAAAATATGCGTCTATGAATTTCAATATCTTTATGATGTATCAGTATTTTGATTGTCATGATAGAATTTTTTCCCTTCCTTAATTTCCATTATGTTTTCTTTAAGCTTTAAATAGTTAAAATTTTCAAATAATACACAGAATTTTAATACACTAGAAAGTTTTTTCGTGGAATCTTGAAAATAAGTGGAGTGTTCGATTTTGATGAAATGTTCTTTGACTTTAACGTGTGTAGAGTGTTATAGAAAACCTTTATGTTGGTGTAATCGAACATTTACCATTTTCATCTTCAAGTCTGGCACTGTTTCCATATGAGTACGAAATTCTACTGTGTAGCGGATAACAAGGCGACAGACATCAATCGATAAGTGTGTGAGAATGTATGTTTTTTCAGAGGAGAATATTATGTAGGGAGCTGTTGCGTAAGCATCTCTGAAAGATCATTGCTGGCAACGCTGGCAGTCATATATAATGAACAATATTTGTCTGAAACTGCTTTTACATATTTTAACATTTTGTGCCACAGAAATTGTTTGTGTGGTGAGAAGTATTCCACATTCCATTATTTATTTATGTGAAAAGCAGTCATTGGTTACCCGTATAGTTACAGCCTGCTGCTGTTGTGTCACACGGTGTATTCCTTGGAGAATCAATGCTCCAGGTATAAGGTGTACTTGTGTTAGACACAGGAAGATCTTTCTCACCATCTACATTATAGATAGGAGTCATTATTTTTATGATTACATAAGTGAATTAATGTTGAGAGACAGTTTTGCAAATGTACCTTTTCAGAATAATCAATGAAATGCTAACCAATTGCCTAAAAATGTTATTCATTTCCAAAAACAACTTTTGAAATAAGTGTTTTATCAAAGGCAATGTTTTACGTATGTTCATATTTTGGGGTTGAAAATAGGATTTTTTGTTCAATTTTCTAAATTTAGGATTAGTATATCCCTATTACAAGAACATACATTGATCTTTCCCAATAAAGAAGAAATATTTTACATGAATATATTTCAAATTTATTTTCATTATTGTAGATTGTGACTGAAGATTTTGGTATGCCTATCACAGAACAAGATATGCAAAATGTGTAATGTGTTTGTATGATGTTACAGTGCTGTACAAATGTGCCCCTCATGCTGCTGCATCATGTAATTGTTGCTGTCATTACATCATTGTTGCTGTCATTGCATCATTGTTGCTGGTCGTCTGATCATTGCATCATTGTTGCTGGTAATCGCATCATTGCTGCTGGTAATCTGGTCATTGCATCATTCTTCTGAACATTGTTGTTGGTCATTGCATCATTGTTGCAGGTCATCGCATCATTGTTGCTGTCATTGCATCATTGTTGCTGTCATTGCTTCATTGTTGCAGGTCATTGCATCATTGTTGTTGGTCATAGCACCATTGTTGCAGGTCATCATATCATTGTTGCTGTCATTGCATCATTGTTGCTGTCATTGCATCATTGTTGCTGTCATTGCTTCATTGTTGCAGGTCATTGCATCATTGTTGCTGATCATCTGGTCATCACATCGTTGTTGCTAATCCGCGTATCATTATTACTGGTCATCACAAGTTGTTGGGCTGAGACAGAGGTTGTGAACATGTTTTATATCAGACCCTATTTTTCTAAACCTGTATATATATTCTATCCCAACATTTTATACTATTCCTGTAAATAAGTTGACTATTTATGTTGATGTTTCATGTGGGACAGCTGTTTGAATCCAAACAGTGCTTGATGTTACTCATGTACAGTGGAAGAACATACTCAATTTCTCACAGAAAACTTAATTTACGATTTGTATTTTTTCAGTATGAACATAAACGACGGTCATTTAAAGATTCTGTGTTAATTTCACATGATTGTCAATATATGAATATTTGAAGAAGTTTAGGTAAAATATTCACTGGTATTAATTATGCTTAATACTTTAAGTAGTGTGAAATTTGATATGGACAGTTTTGATTTTGTAATATGTATGCAATACCGATAAAGTAAGTCAATAAATATAACATGACATATATAATAACTTGTATTTATTTGTAAAAGTGAGATGAGTCTGGTTTTGCATCAAAGTCAGAAGGCAGCACGGTGATCATGAGTGCCACAGTTCGACAGTGCAGAGTTGTGTCCCTTTTTTGTTATACCAGGATCTAGTGATATATGGGTTTCAAATTCAAAATGAGCCCTGGTTATGATCCTTGGGCTTTTAGAACTATACATGCCTTCTAAGGTTCACCAGAGTAGTAACTGTCGCTCACTTGAGTGAGTTGTGTTTAACGCTGCTTTTAACAGTATTCCATATCACAGCACGTCAGCTTAATGTGGGAGGAAAGCCTGAAAGTTATGCAGGTCTTAGACGTTTACCACTTCAGGATGACACACGAGCATGGGTATGATGCTGACAAACCTAGAAACATAATCGGGGCAAACCAGGATTTGAACCCACGATCATAGGTTTCTGGCATGGGCAAGGGACGCAGCTCTGCAAAGCGAATTGCGCGCCGAAGAGGACTGGGCAACCTGTGCCCCCGTCTCTCACTTGAGCCACTTGGGACATGTAGTGGACAGACAATTTGCTCTGAGAAGGTCAGTGGTTCAATTCCTAGGCTGTATCATACCAAAAGATATACCGATGGTACTTGTCATCCTGCTTGGTATTAAGGGATTTAACAAGGACTGAGTCAGTAGGACCGGCTCGGAGTCAGTATGTGTTTGTGTGAGTCCATGTTAAACTGTGGCATGGTATCTCAGTGGGCTAGCTCTATAAAACCTCATTAGCCAGGACTAGTACAATCAGCCACACACGCTCATGCATGTTGCGATACAAGTGCAATAATCTTGGACGCGACGTTAAACCCAATTTCACCTCACCTCACCTCTCTACCACCAATAAGCCACCATGCCATGACGTAACTGAGATAACAAAGTAGACACCCTTGGTCATATCCGGTTAGTACACAGCCCTTATCGGACTACATGTACTTGCTTGTGTAAAATAAGTAGATTTATGAGCAAAAGTTTTTACTTGTCCGAGTCTAAGACACTGGTGGCCATGTGTACCTGATATACTGTTTATCTCTGACAGGGTGTAAAAACTACAGAATAACTCTCAAGCTGTGGAGAGTTTGGGACTGGTTCACAAGGTACAGAACAGTCATTCTGGTTTGCGAGTAGGTTTTTCTTTTAGTGTAAAAATCAGCATTAAACTGTTTGAGATGCATCTGATATTATCCTTGTCCAAATCTGCTTTTGTTGTTTATGTTTTTATGTAAAGTAAATATACTGAAGAAGGGGAAATAAAATAATAACTTAAAGACTAAAAACATCAATAACTGAATGTATTGTTCATGTCAGCCTAGTTTATAGTGTAGACAACTTAGCAACCTTTACTACAGTGCAATGTACATTTAACTGTAAATTTTTAGATTTAAACAAAAAGGGTTACAAACACAACTATATATTTAACCTTTTTTTTATTAATGGCTAAAAAGTGACTGGCAGATTGGTGAAACAGGTAATGAAATTGGTCTGGCCTAATTATTAAAAAAATCTCCTTTTGTTACCATGTCAGGCTGTCACATACACAATGGATGAACACCTATTTGCCACAATGCACTCCTCAAATGTCCCCCCTTGCTGAGGGCTGCTCTAAACACAATCAACAAATGCAAATCATTGACCGGGAGTCTATATCTTACATACCTTACAAAGACTCAACCCTGTCAGCAGGAGGCTCAAGATCTATCTAGTATTCAGAATACCTCAAATATATACCCAATATATACTGAACTGCAAAAGAAACATCTCCTGAAAATACTTCATGAAAGCTTCCCATTGAAATATCAATACATTTTTTTAGGTATTTCGTTTGGGTTTATTTCAAAACAAGATACCTCCCTTTATGCATTGATATTTCAATGGGAAACTTTCATGAAGTGACGTTTTTTTGCGATTCGGTACCGGTAACTAGAAAGTAGGGCTGGACGGGTAACTCGGGTACTCAGGACGGGTGGGTACTGAGTAGGATCCGAGTACCCACAGGACTACCCAGACCTTTGGTTAGTCATGTGATATATTGTTTAATGACAAATATTATCTAAAACTCTATGGTTACACTATAAGTCACTAATGTTCCCATTTCTTTCTGACTTTGCACCCACTCTTCTGACTTTTATATGTTTGAATTAAGATGAAACTTCATGCAGTGTATGCATGACAGATCGTTTTACATGTGTATCTAAATACACTTTGCCAGGGCTACGGTCAAACTTTTCCCAATCAGACAGTTTGTACTATCTCTTGATATCTACAGCCTTTACCAGGGTAGGGTCGAGAAATAGGGGGATGGGTACCCGGGTAGTAAATGTGGACTCGTCCCAGCCCTATTCGAAAGGTGTTTTGCAGTTCATGCAAAAACAAGCAGCCCAATAAACGTGTCCCTAAATGGCCCGATCATTCCAAACAGAAACATGTATTTGGAGGTGACTGCTGACCTCACCAATATCAATCTGTATCCATCTTTGATCTCTAATGTTGTCTAATACAATACAACTTAGTCCTCCAGTTACCCTAGTGACAGTTTATGAGCATTTCCTACTTTCTGAAGAGGGAGCTCCTTAAAAACATGCATGAACCTTCACATACATATTGAGTGAGTGAGTGAGTTTGATTTTAAGCAGCTTTTAGCAATATTCCAGCAATATCACGGCGGGGGACACCAGAAATGGGCTTCACACATTGTACCCATGTGGGGAATAGAACCCGGATCTTCGGCGTGACGAGTGAACGGTTTAACCACTAGGCTACCCGACAGCACTCATACATATAAGAAGAGAAATAGTCGGCCAAATCATCTTGTCTGAACCAAGCAGTCATATTAGTTTATATCATGAGTCATACACAAAACTGACTGTATTTGAACAATTGTTAAGGTACATGCATTCTTGTCAACAGAGACAATAAAATAACCATTTTACTAGATATATTTAACTAATTATTATTTTATAAATTAATTATTTTATTATCTCTGCTTTCAGAAATATACCTAGAATTTTGAATAGGATTTATTATCCAACATACTATTAGAAAACAATTCAAAACATCATGACACAGTTTCACTCCTAAACCTAGGGACCTGCCCTGGGGGATGTTTAGTCGTCAAGGTGCTGACATTATTCCATGTAAGTATGGACTTGTGCAGTGGCTGCTAGCAGTGGGACAGAGACCAGAATGGCAGTTATGGTGACACGTACGTGATCTGATCTGAAGCTGATTTCATGAGGTATATTTACAAGGGAGATAAAATATGACTTTAATGACAGTAAGTTAGAGATGTGACAATGGAAACAGTGGTTGGGTGAATGTTGCTGTATCATGGTGGCCTTTAAATCATGGAGTCTTGGCCAGACATACCATTGGCTCTTGTTTTAACTATTTATCTACTTATTTATTTTATTGGTTATTTGTGTGATGTGGGGTGAGTTAAGATTAGTTTTAGGACTGTATCATATTTTGTTCCCACCCCTCCCCCCTCCCATTTTATGTAACATTTTTTTCACACACCCCCTCCACATATTTTGTTATGACTCCATGTTCCTATTATAAATGCCCAGTCCCTAATAATTATTCAAATTTATAATTTGTTTATTTGAATAAATATAACTGTGGCATTTGTTTATGAGTTGTGATCAATTTGGGTAACCCCTCTATTTCGCTGTGTAATGTTTTCATGAAACACACACACACATCTTACTTCTCTATAATTCCCAATAACAAATTACCAGTCCCCAAGTGGGGCTCCATGGAAACTGCAGAGTGCTGGGTACCTAATACCAACATTGGCCTCTTACAACAAGCAGAACAGAGTAAGCTACGTAGTCAAGGAAGTCACAAGTGTTTTGTTTGTTGGAAGGAACACAGACTCCGCCATTTTGTGTCTCCAAACCTGTCAGACTTTTATGAAAGCAATCATTGTTATCGGGCCAACTTGTTGAGGTAAAATGTTTTTTATGCATTTTCTGTACAGTGCAATTAACCATTTTATTCATATGTAAAACATACAAGCAAATAAAAACATGAAACATGGAAGAAAAGTTTATAGAATCATTTTTTAACAATGTATGTAGAGCCATTCCTAATTTGTTACCTCTTCTGACAAGCATGGGCTGTTGAGTACCTTTATCTAGCACATCATGGGTGGCAGGACTTCCTGACACTGTAAAGAGATTACCTGAAATGACAGATAGAGCTTTTCTTCTATTTGAAAAAAACAAATCAATTTGGTTCAAAACCAACCAGAACTGATATGTTTTATATAGACTACTAAACACAGGGATAGGCTATCTTCAGTGTCCAATGGAGGGATAAATCTGACTGGATGTATGGAGATGTTGTCCTATGTTTGTTTGTTTGTTGGTTAACGCCACATTCAGCAATATTCCAGCAATATGACGGCAGTCTGTAACTAATCAAGTCTGTACCAGACAATCCAGTGATTGAAATCACAAGCATCAATCTACGCAATTGGGATACGATGACACGCACCAACCAAGTCAGCAAGCCTGACCACCCGATCCCATTAGTCGCCTCTTAAGACAAGCATAGTCGCCTGTCAAAAGTTGAGTAGTATAACGATGCTGAACATAAAGGGAGACAACCCTGATCCAACTCCAAAGAGAGGTAACTGATGCAGGTTTTTGATGGGAATATATTTCTTAAAGTACAGATGTATTTTGACTGCAAACCCCAGCATGCCCAAGATCTTTATGACACCAGATCATATCTTCTCATAAACTACCATCACACATGTCCAACAGCCCCCAGACATGTGCTCGACTAAACTAGAAGTGACAGTTTTGTGATGTTGGGGAGCCATTGCCTGCTGTATGCAATATTAGACATGTTGCATGTCCTCACACTCACCCAAGTATGTCCTTGCTTTACACAGTACTTTAGTTATACAATTACATGTATCACAGTGTTTAAAGGACCAGGCGAGTGAGTGAGTGAGGTTTTAACA